TTCTATGAAGCTTTTCTACTCATTTCCTTTCATCCATTTATCTTTATGAAAGTCTTATCATTTTTAGAATAAATTATGATAGTGGAATTATGTGGTTTGTTTCCCCAAGAACACATGAAGCATGCACACTTAGTTTGAGAGTTCTGAGTGGAGGACAAAAAAATGCATATAATTTACTGATGGTTAATTTTTATATCTGAATTTTTAAAGATGTTTAATTTTATTAGAAAGGCAGAGTTACAGAGAGAAGGAGAGACATAGAGAAAGATCCTCCATCCTCTAGTTTACTCCCCAATCCAAAGCCAGGAGCCTTCTTCAGGTCTCCCATGTGGGTGCAGGGTCCCAAGGCTTTGGGCCATCCTCTACTGCTTTCCCAGGCCACAGGCAGGGAGCTGGATGGGAAGTGGTGCAGCCAGGACATGAACTGGCGTCCATATGAGATCCCGGTGCACCCAAGGCGAAGACTTTAACCATTAGGCTACCATGCCAGGCCCTTTATATCTGAATTTTCACAAGCATGTATTACATGAGTTTAGAAGCATAAGAAATAACATTTTCCCCCCTCCAGAAGGTAATATGATTGAAAGAACAGCAAAATTACTCATGACAGTTTCTAAACACATGGTACATTTCATAGAAATATACACAACACTTGTCCACACTGAAAATAAACTCAGAATAAAAAATAAACAGCACACAAGAAGCCTGTGCTATGAGACAACGTACACAAAAACAGCACTAAAGCACAATCCTGAATTCTGAAAAACAATTTAAAATAAATGTACACCATATGTTAGAAGTCATAAGATCTTAGGTGAGAAAAAAATTGTTAGAAACTGTATAGGTAAAAATGAAATGATCAGGAACAAAAAAAGGTCAACGTATGAAAACTATATTAGTAAAGTGGAATGCAGAGCTGAAGGAATAACCCAGAATGAAGAGAAGAAAATCCGAAGGAAAGATTAAAATGATAATGTATAAATCCAATGAATGAATTCCACAAACACAAAAGGTAATAGTCAAAGAGATAATTTTTGAGAAAATGTCAGAATTGATCAAAGGCATAAAGCTTCAGATTGAAGAAGCAAAAGAAACCCAGGGGCGGCTGTGTGTGGCATTCCTCCTAGCACAGCTATGGAGCCAGGCACAATGGACCAGCAGCTTTTGTGTGTGGAGTTATTGGTCCTCCTGGCCTCCCTTCAGCCAAGGGGATCTGGCCTGACAGAACAGTGCAAAGCTGGGAGATTGCAGTATGAGGCAGGGTTCTGGCCACATAGGATCTGCTTATTGAGTCAAAAGCTTATACTCAAAGCCATTTACTTCTCTTACAGCCAAAACATATGTCCTTAGGAATCAAGTAGAGAACAAGGGAACGGAAGTGGTCCCTATCAACTACCATTAGTGATACATTTGCAGAATTTTTGTTTTCTATCCCTGTGAATTTGGCACCTTCCGGTTCTTCAGGAATGAGCCATTCCGTGAAGACAGCAATGACTCCACTGTTCTGTGGAGATTACTGTTCTGGTGGGGCTGACTGATCCTACCACAGAAGCACGGCCACACAGTGAGGTGGAGGAGGGCCACGCTCACCCAAGGAATTCTCTGTAGGGCATCTTAGTAATAAGATTAGCCAGTTCAACATGCCATGCACTTTATTAACAGAAAATCGAAGACTGTTAGAGACTCATACACCTCTATAAGGTAGAAAATGCGAAGCCAGGCAAGGCAATGACTGGAGACAAAGTGGTCCTAAGATAGCTGGAGATGAAGCAGGTCTTTTCTGATGGAAGGATGACAGGTGAGAGTGGTGAGGGCTTGGCAGTGGCTGAGGAACAAGGTGCTGGTAGTTTGCAAAGGGGCTGGGAATGGATAAGAAATCATTAGAAAGGCTAAAATGGAAGCAGTACTTCAGAGGATGGGCAGAATTTTTTCTCTTGCTAAAGAACATCAGTGATGAACTTTCTGTGCCGAAAAGTGGAAAGACCATGATGCTGCTGCGCTAGACAGGGAAGGCACAAGCTAGGGGCTGAATACATTGATTTCGGGTCAACCGCATTTTCATGCTTATGAACTTCAGCAAGTCAAGACGGGCATCTCAAGACGGGTATACTGTTAGTCCCTCTCTTCAATGAGCTGAATCTCTTCCAGGCCTCGGGGACAAGGAAGGTTCCAGTTTCTTCAGAAGCTTCCAGCAATGATTGCTGTCATGAGGGTTTCATGATGTGCTACAGATAATGCCCTGAATCTTCTCCCTGTGGAATTTCAGTGGGGCTACACTGACTGCACATAATATCAACTGCTGATTGAGCCAGCAAAGAATTCAAGACAAAACTCAAATTCCATGTGTGGAATTTCTTTCGCCCCTGCAGCAAAGCCTGTGGTTTTGTAGCTGTCTGACTTCCTCAGCATCCAGCTGGCCTCCCTGCCCAGCCTCCCGGCACTCTTGCCAGGGTTGAAGAGTCACCTCTGTAGCATCCATTGCGGCCAGGCTTTCCTCCCCTACACTCCTGGCATTCATGTGGCACAGCTATAAATTATGCCCAGCGTGTTCATTTTCAGTTTAAATGTGTTCTCATCCCAGAGGAGCAACTAATGGCGTCAAGTTACTGATGTGAAAAAAGCCTGCCGCTACAATGACTATGGATTAATGAAATCGCAGGCGTCGAGACTGGGGTGGCAATAAATCGTCAGCTGCTGGTGACACAGCTTTTAAATTATGTTCTCTGTCCCCTTTCCCTTCTCCAAGATTATTTTGCTGTAAAGTTGTTTGGTAAATGTTTACCTTGCTTAAATGTTTGCTTTCTATTAGAAGTGGATAGAAGCATGGCCCCTTCCTTTTTAACACTGAAGGCTGCAGAGAGGGGATTTAAAAAGCCTATCCTGCTTTCTCCAGGAGGCGTGAAGGCAAATCTCTTAATCCAGGATCATCACTGATGAATTTCATTCAGAAAATTGGCAAACACAGGGTTCTATCAGTGAACTCTGCTCGTGGGGCATAGAAGGTACTCTCCCCCCTCTTTCCTTGTGGCCTTTTGTTGTTTTTCTACTGAATCTCAGAAAAGAAAGCAAAGCAATTCCCACTGATGTTTCTCAACAGTAGCTAGTCTATTTTTCATTTGATGAAGGACCCTGAGGACTCCAGTGATAGACACAGGAAATCTGAGAATCCTTGATCCTAAGCAAATTGTTCCTAAGTTTTTCTAGGAAAAACATAAAAATGGGCTATCATTTTCCTCATATTTGCGAAATGTTCCAAACCACCTAAAAGGTTTGAAAGACTAACCTTGGTTGTTTCACAGTTGCAGCTTTCTCCGCTTCACACATCTGGGTCTTCACAATGCGATTTTGGATTATCCGCCCTGTGAGGAAGAGGCTTCCTTCTCATTCCTCGTTAGCAGATGTAATTGCACAGACGCCTGAAAAACACTTGAATGACTTACTGTTTCTGGAACTCTGCAGTCACGTGATGCAGGCTGTGCCACAGGGACCACAGCCTCTCTTCCCCAGTTGATTTGCCCAGCTACAGTGAGCCCGAGGAGCACTCTAGACATGGATCTAGGAGAAATGTTCTCAAACTGCTGGCCTGCAGAACTCGGGGTGTGACGTTGCATCACTCTGCTCTGCTGCAGTCTGACACAGGAAGGCAAACGGATACAAGATAAGGGCATGACTTACTCAGTTGTTGCATTCTTGTCCTCAAGACACAGAAACCACTCTGCATTTGTTGAACTGAGTAGAACTGGCATCTCAGAAGAACAGAGTAACACTGATGAGAAGGTCTTCCAGGATGATTTGCTCCAAGCCTGTTTGCTGACCTACAAAAAAGGGGCTTTCAAAATACCTACCTTGTCATGCTGTGCGGTTATCAGACACTACTCACTTTAGAAGTGCACTCCATATAGCTGGTTGCCCAAGCAGGAGCAAGCTTAAGAATGCGCTCAGGAATCTGTAGGCACACAGAGTATCACGCATGCGTCGACAAGCAAAGTAGTCACCAGGGGTTCAGCAAGTACACTCCAGTTTCCAGTCGTCAGCTTTCTCTGCTGCCAAGTCAGGCTGGTGCCTTCACACACTGTCAGCCAGCCGCGTGTCATTCTGATGGTGCTGGTTGCTCTGTGGCAGTCCGAGGACTTGCAGCTCCCTCTATGAAAGCTGGGGAGGGCTTCTGAACAAGATGAGACATGTGAGTTGTGGCCCTGGATTCTGCTACCACCTGCTGCCCCATCTCCTCATTTGTAAAAGGAGGTGTGGACGATGGGCTTGAAACACCTTGTGGGTTGTAGGGGCCCAAGGGCTTCTGTGATGGCCAGAGCCTCATCTAAGTGTGAGAGAAGACTGCTCACAGCATCACTCAACCATAAAATAATTTATTGATCATTTTTTGAGGTGGAAAAAGGAAAGGTTCCTATATTTGCCTGAGGCAGAAGCACTGACCAAAGAAGTGGAAAATAATAAAGAGGAAAGAAACCAAGGTCAGTGTGACTGGAGCTAGGGTGCGAGGGCCTTGCTTACTGCAGGAGATGCTGGGAGGACCACGGGAAGCACTTCACACACTGCACCGCTGATCGCAAGGAGAAGGTACACCATAAACACGAAGTTATAAAACATACACAGGAAAGATTTACACAAAGAGCTATAAAACATTCACAAACACTTTTGGCATTAAGATTTCCTATTATTTTTCAAACAACATCTGAAATGAATTGTTTCTACGATTTAGAGTAAAATGCTCTTGTGCTGAAGATGTAGAGGTAAACAATGGACATAAACATTTTTCACAAAAAGTAGAGACAGTGATGTCAAAATTCTGGTAATCTTGCCAATAGTAAGTTTCCACTTAGAGGTAAATGTGAAAACAGTGACTTATATCCAATTCTGACATACACTCAAAGTTATAATTTACACTGTCACACTTTTTATTAAGATTCTCTAAAATGTAGATATCTTCAATGTTAAGATCACCAATGAGTGAGCAAAGAAAACAATTACTAAATGGCAATTCAACAGCTTTTTAGTATTTATTGTAATCGTGCTTCTCTACAACTAGTGATTCTTACAGTTTGCAAACTACACAGCTGCGTTATTTACCTACATAAACACAGAAGAGCATTTCTAGAGGGGAAGGTCACACCACAAACAAGGTACAGAGCGTGACCTCGATAAGGCATCCGATAAATGCATGTAGGCAGTATTTCCCTTAGGACGCTCTTATGTTGGCATCGCATTCTTCCAAGAGCAGAATCAAATCTTCAATCAGGCTGTGTTCTCTGCCATGGGTCACTCGCATGATATCAAATGCCTAAACAGAAAGAATGAAACACACATTAGATCTCAAACAGGTGATTCTTGGCCTACTCCTCATCTTGTGCCCATGATGCTGGGGGGGCCTGACAAACCCTATGAGTCTATAGAATACAACAGGATGGCAGTTTATTAGGCTCATGGCATTAGAATTTTCTGAGCCAAAATATGCAGCAACAAGAGTGACCCAGCGCTGGATGCAGCCTGTAGCCAGCTACCTCACGCCTCGAGTCATATGGGTGACCAACAATGATCTTTAGAGGTTATTAGTGCGTACGTCTGGTGGATAGAGTTTCAAGAAGAGCTATGAAAATAAATCATATGAAGAATGAATTATCATGTTGCTACAATTCTCATCTAAAGACACTAAGATCATTATGTACATATATTCTTGGTTTCATTTTGTATCAGCTCTCAGCTGATATAGATACTGGCATGGTGACAATCTTCCTCCTTCCTTTTCCCCCATGAAGTCCATTGCTAAATGCTGTTGAATGCTCCCTCCAAAGTATTTCTGAAACCATGACATGCTTTGTGCTTATCTCGATAATAGAACAGTAGAAGTGAAGCTACTGTTAACTGAGGCTAGGCCACAAAGACCATGCAGCCTCTGCTTGTTCAGCGGTATGCTTAGTCCTGAGCCATGAGCTACCTGCCAGGGACAGGCCACTGGTAGGGCTCTGCCTGACAGTCCTAGCTGAGCTCATCTGTTAAGCCATCTTAGTCAAGTTCCCACACATGTGCATAAAGAAGCCTCAGTGGACTCCAGGGCCCAGCCAGAAGCCAGCCAGATAAAACACTAGGAGTGAGTCTTTCCAAATGAGGCACAAGACGGTGCAGAGAAGAGAAAAGGCATTCTTAGTGTACTCTGAGCATCCAAATTCCCAATGCCTCCCCCAACCTAGAATCTGTGATCCCTGTACCCAGAATCAATGTAATTAATTCAGTTTGGGGGATAATCTGCTATGGAGCAAAAAAAAAAAAAAAGCCAGAACTCTTTCCAAAGTATTTTTGTAATGAGTAAGTTAGAAATAAAAATATCATCTTGTATTGCTCAAATGCAGGAGGGTGGGGGAGGGACGGGGGAGCTGGGATGGGGAAAAGAAAGAGGATTAGAGTTACTTTTTTCAACGTGCCTGTACCCTGCAGCCCCATAGAGACATGACTCTGGTGGCCATGAAGCCATTAGCCAAGGCCCTGGCATGTAGCATCCAGGCTCTCAGCCCTGGGTGCATCAGAGTGTCAAATGGACACCTTCCGAAGAGATGCTAGAGCCAGAGCTCACAAATGATCAATAGACACCTGCTCTCTGGGAATGAAGTCTGGGGTCCAGCAGACACTCAGAAGCCCACAGGGTATAGAACAGTATAGAACAACATGGGGCACTGCCAAGAAGTAGCAGCAACTATTCACTGCTCAACGTCCATTTACAGCGAGTATAATTGCCAATTGTGGGTTGTACAATTAATCTCATCATGTCCGTAGAACATTATTTACTAAATCGCTCTTAGAAATTCAAATCACTTCCAATTGTTTGCTGTGATGTGGGGCAGATCTCCCAGCATTTGAGGTTTAGCTTTTGTTTGTTTTTGCCTCTTTTGATGATTTGTTCAGGATAGACTCCTCAGGGTGGAATTCTTGGCTATGAACATCTTTAAGGTCGCAGAGATTTGAGAGCTGAAAACACATAGGTGGTCACAGGAGAACTGCGGCCTGGAGAGACACACTTTGTCTCAGCTTGGATAAAAATGCTTTCAATCTGCATTCCTGCCTTGCTTTATTTATTTGGAAGGCAGAGTTACTTACAAACACAGAAGGGGGCGGGGTGGGAGGGAGGGGGGGAGAAGAGAAACAGAGGTCTTCCATGCACTGATTTACTCCTCAGATAGCTGCAATGTCTGGACTAGGCCAAAATTGGGAGCCAGGGTCTTCCTCTGGGTTTCCCACATGGGTACAGGGCTGTTTGCTGCTGCTCTCTCCCAGGCTATTAGCAGGGAGCTGGATTGGAAGCAGAGCAACTGAGACTCAAACCAGCACTCATTTGGGATTCTGGCACTAAAGGTGGAGACTTAACCCTCTATGATACAACACTGGCCTTCCCTTCCCACCACCCTCTCCTTTAAAAAACAGTCTCCTTTAGGCTGGTAGAAAGGAGACAGGCCAGGGAGGAAGTCTAGACATAGCTGCTGAGATAGCCAAGCAGGAGCGAGAAAGGAGAGGAAGCTCACATCCTGATTTGAGCAGCAGGCAGCCGAGCTCTGTGAGATTCTTCTGGGCAGAAGATGAAAACAAGTGCCTGATGCCAATCAGAGAACAGGTGCCTCATGCCCTTCTCTCTCATCTCAGAGCCACCCTGGAACTGTTCTGGCCATGTCAAGTTCTGAGGCAGAGACCTGCCGTGGAGAACAGGGATTTCTTGGATCACAGTGATTCATTAGGAGTCCTTTTGTTTGAAAGCTGTCTTAGATGTTCTCTTCCCTTCCACTCTACACAGGGTTATGTGTATGTGTGTGTGTGTGCTGTGGCAAGGGAGGATGAATGCACCAGAAACATTGTCTGAGAAAATCTGGGCAGACAGAGGCATAACCCTCTACCCTGAGGGAAACAAAAATTAAAATGACCAGGCCTACTCTGTGAGGACTTCCTCCCTCCCTGCACTCCCAGGCACCTGCTGCTGGAGGGGGGCTGGCCTAGGTTCTCAGGAGAGCTCTCCAATCTCTTTGGTTTTGGTCTCCTCGAGAATCATGTGACCCGGAAGCTAAATGACAAAGCCAGCTTCTTATCTCTGATGGAGACAGGTTCACTTGCTTGCTTGAGGCTCCAGTCTTCCTTCCCCATTGCCTTTCTTCCAGCTCCAGTTCTAAGTTTCCCTTTCTCTCCCTTGGCAGGGATAAGAGGTAGGTCTTCTCTGCTCCAGGACCAAGTTCATTGCTATTATTACAGTGAGTCTTCCTGCTCACCTGATGAACATTCCTGCCCACCTCAGGGAAGGGCAGGTACCCACATATGGGTAGTATGCATCCAGCCACCTCTCTCTCTCAAAGACTCAAACCAGTCTCCATTCCATGATTGTACTATATCACTTCCAGTTGCAAACACCTTGCAGTAACCAAGGTGAGGAAGCAGAGTTTCTGCTGGACATTGCTTCCAGGGTACCCTGAGAGGCCTCAGGGCCCTTCCCATTCACCATGCAGCCAGCCAGTCTCATGTCTTACTAGGCGGTGGGTGTGGCACTGGAAGCAAAGACAGGGCATGAGCTGACCCCTGTGTGTGTATGGGTAAGATGCAAGACATTAACATTCGAACATCTTGTATCAAGAAGCAGAGAGGAAATAGGTAGAGATGAGAGCAGAGGGGTAGAAGAGTAAATTTTAGAAATCTATGTTGTTTGCCTTAAAACTGAATATGGATATGATCAATGAGATTATAATTTTGAGTAATGGATTGACTGTGTGTGTGAGAGAGAGAGAGACAGACAGACAGACAAGCTGGACAGACATAGATCTGTTGCTCTGAATGCCACCTGGGCCTACAGGGAAGCCAAACAGTTCCCAGGAATCTGGGAAGATCCCTGTTGTCTCCAGACCTAACCCTTCAACCCAGGAGGAATACAAGCAGGACTTCCCCTTACCTGACTGTCCCCTCATTATTAAGTTAGCATAAATCTTGGCTAGACAAGAACAACTGTTTCCAGTAGCTGTGTCTCTCTCCCTGCAACCCCTCCTAGAAGTCACACATGTGCATGTGAGAGAGGACAATTTTGGTTTAATTTCCTGCAGCAGCACATAAAATAGATTAAGGAAATGTAAAATTGGAGCCAGCTCGCATGGGGAAAAGCTTATCTCTTTCCATTAAATTTCATTTTTTTAATGGTAGCATTTAAAAAGAGCCTGCACATCATGTTTCACAGAGGACTCCTTGAAGCCTCCCAGGGAGAGCTACACCCACACACAGAATCCAAATGTCACATGAGAAAGGACAGCACAGATTGTCTGCCACATGACAGGCACATGGTTCACCCAGGAATAAAGATGGGGTCTCCAGGAATGATTTACATCGCATCTCATCTTTTTTTAAATAATTGCAGAATTGTGGTCATATATTAAATAAAATGAATTATGTCTAACAATGATTTAAAATTGGGAACAATAAGCTTTCATATTAATTTTTAATACAAATATATTAAGCTTATCAAGGATCTCATATACTTTCTACTGCGAGCCTGAGGAATCCAATAAATGAGTTCCCCAAGCATGATTAAATACGGATATAAAACCAGAGGAAAAACTGTATGCATGATAAGAACCTCCAGAATCAGATCGCAACAAGAGAAAGTGCAAGTGCATTTCCTTACGCCCAACTCAGAATGAAAGGCAGGTCTAGAGTATTCAAAATGGGAAATGGACGCAGCTACAGCCCAGACACAGGATGCGGCTTTGGAGCCCACAAAAACCTCTTGAGAAAGGGTAGCAGAGTCTGGGAGGCTCTGATAACCTCTCTGAGCTTGGCAGCACCTCTGCTGACCCCACTCCACTCAACACCTGGCATGATTCTCCAAGTGCCGATCCCGTGGCAGAGATCTGTCCTTCAGCAAGAGAGGATTTTCTTTGAAAGAACATCTACCTATTCATTCACTCAATATATTCTGAGCAGCTGCAGTGATTAAGACCTGGCCTTTGCCCTGGAGAGAGCTCTGGCACAGTCTGGGAGGCAACATTTGACTACCAGATCTTTACAGCAGAAGAATGTATATTAAACAGAGATGCAAAGTGCTGGGGTGCCCCAAGAAGGGACCAGAGATGCCCAAGAAAACCTTAGGAGGAGTTACCAATGAGCTGAGAGCTTAGTGTTGTGACTTCCAGTGCTAGCAACTATTTTATAAAGAGTTGCTGTTGTGTCACTGTGTTTTACCTAATAATTATGATGAATATTTATTGAACACCCGAGAGACCCTGAAGGAATTATGTTTCCTCCATGGGTCTCAATTCCCTCAGCTGA